CCGCACATATCCATACAATCACTACCAAGCGAGATGAAGCCGAAAAGAATAGAAATTAGACATTTATTTACACTCTTATAATTATGTTCATATATTTGTAATGTATATGTTTATGTTCATGTTCTGTACCCATGCGACCTGTACTTAGTTCTGTAGAACACAAATGTACAATAAAGGTCTTCATTCATTCATAAACTTGAGAGCTCTACACGTACGTGTACTTGTTATATTGGTTACCTTGATGTCTAATTTCTATCAAAGAAATGTCAACTATTTCCAGTAGTCAAGTACAACAATGCAAAATCGCGCAATTATGATATAAACTCTCTTGTGGAATTCAGTTGTACTAAAATGTAATCATCAAACGCAGGTGCAGACATCGACTACGCCCAACCGGATAACGAGGTCACCGGCAAAGGAACAGCGCTGTTCATCGCCTCCTACTTCAGACATACAGACATCATGACACTTCTGATCCGCAAGGGGGCGTCCATGACAAAGAGAACCACGATGTTTGCATCTGCCCCCCTTCACGGAGCAGTGACTTATGAAGGTAGGCCTTTTCGTCACACCTTTTTACGCTTACCTGCCGAAAAGAATGGATAAATTATACTCGGAGTCGTCGGACATTGCAATTGTTTTTTTTTTTCTTATTATTTTCCAAACAACTTGAGTGTGCCGTCACCACGTCTTGTGGTTGCATGTTTCGGAATATTAAAAAAAAGGATAATAACCTCGACCGGTCATGACAACATGATGGTAACTGATGCTGTAGCAGACAGCCTATAATTTTGGGTTGTATTATGTAGCAAGTTGCAGGACAGAGTTGGGTGCGCTATAGTTTCACCACGTATATATGAATGTGTTTGTATAAGAAAAAACAGGGGGAGGGCTGAAGTTTATACATAGTCCTTGACCAGACCATGTGATGGTTAACATCATGCATTTGTTTTGTAAATGTCACCCTTCTAGTTTGTGTAATGTATATATTGCATAATCAAAGCATTATCTTTATCACCTCTTTGGGTGTAGATTGATGCATTTTTCTCACGCCGTACTTCCGAAAATCCAACCCAGGGAAAACAGACGCGTTGGAGTTGCTGTTCCGTCACGGTGCAACACTAGACATACGGGACTGCTACCAGAGGACGCCCCTCATGCTCGCCTGTATGTTCGGTTATGTCGACACAGTTCGGAAACTGATTCAGCTCGGAGCAAGAGTGGATTTGAAAGACACTGGACCTACAACGGCGCAGATGTAAGTTTCACGTAACAGAAAATTGGGCAACAACCTTTCAAAATTAGTGTGGAATAGACATAGACAATTTTAAAGTGGTAGATAGATATATATTTCAGAATTTTGGTTCGCCATACAAAAGCACTTTTTATTTTAATGACTCGCTGTCCAAAACCTCAAGTCAGCCTTTTGCTGCAATGTTTTAATGCTTTAATAATAACCATTATTGTACAATAGACGATTATCATTAATGCTACTACTACTACACTACATGTAGGTACTGCGAAAAGGCCGAGGAAGGTGGAAACTGCAGCCGTGCACAAAAAGAGACGATGGTGAAGCTGATACAAGAGGCGAGGTTGAGATGCTGCAACCCTACATGTGGCAAACCAGGTGACAGGTAGGTTTTGTTATCGTTTTATATCGTGCTGTAACTGTGCTGGTTAGATACAAGTTTTTACTAGGAGACTACAATACTTTATATTCCTAAGTGTCCTATTTATATTCCTAAGTGTCTCTTATGACCACAATGTATTTGTAAATCATAATTCCATCTGAATTGTCTTTTAGACATTGAAGACAGTTGGAAGTTTCTAAATTCTACTGTACAATAGAGTGTGTAACTGTTACCTCCCCTGCAGGTCCACCCTGAAGCTGTGTGGTCAGTGCAAACTGACCCGGTACTGCAGCCGTGACTGTCAGAAACAACACTGGACTGTCGGACACAAGAAGAGCTGCGGACACGATGGGTACTCTGAACCGAGCCCCCTCAAAAAACTGTGGACGTCAGGCCGTATTTTCGATTTCATGACGTATGTGGTTCCAGAAACATCCTAGAACATGTATAAGAAACGTAACTCTACAGACTTTATAACTTTGCTGCATCTTTAACTTGTCTTTGGTATTACTTCAGTTCATGGTACGGAAGTATTGTTTTGGGCGGCCAAGTTGTGGGCTTGTCTCTCTGTCTTTACTTACTGCTTTGGTCCGATTTCGGGTGCCATGGGTATACGATTCTGCTATGTAGGATACAATAACGAGCGACTTGTTATCAAACGCTTTCATTGTTTTGTCAGCCATTTCTCACTATAGTTATGATGCTGGTGTCTTTATTTTTTATGTAGAAAGTTATGTTGTGTCAAGTTTTGCTTTGTGAACACATATTTTCCGTCTATTTTTTTGGTTTGATCCCTCAGAGCAAAGCAGGGAGTCGGATGTTTAGAAAGCAACTTTTTAGTACTGACCACATTTTCATTTTCCATCTACAGCTAGATCAATGGTAATCAAACTGTGACGGAATAATTAAGTCAAGTTTGAACGTTTCATAATCTCACTGAATCATGTTTCATCTGATAGAAATAACTTTCTGTTGACATGCATGGCTGTTGAGTGTTGTTACTTTTTCTTGCTATCGTTAGTTCAGTGATGATTAGATTTATACTGCCGCAAAATAGTTACGTTTTCTATTTGCTTAATCTCGAGTCCATATTCTAGTCGTACATAAGTATTCGATGACTGCGCCACCAGTCCTGACGACAGTGTGCGGTACTGCAGCAGTACTAGCCATGGGTAACTGTGACATGCCAATAAACATTTGGGACACTTCGCTTGTGTATATCTTATCTGTATACTTCTAAACCCGTGCCAAAAATTCTCTCTTGTCCAGAAACCGACAAGTCTTATAAGCCCATGTCACGTATGTATATACAGTGGTGGTCGGATGACCAATTGACATTTGTGAGCTAGTCGATGGCTTATCGTGCAAATTGCAACTGTCTTGTAACAGAAAAGGTCGATGGTCTCAGTAAAAAAGCGCAGGACAAAAGGCTCACAACGTTTGCACATGTGACCGTCGCGTGTTTTAATACCAAGCTGAAATCCCTCACGGTTAAAGAGCTACTAGTATGTTGACTGAGCCCTCAAAAGCCTTCCGGCCAATTTACGTGCAAACGAAAACACATCAAACTAATATCCACACATCGTCTTTTGTTTGTGCCATGTACCTTTCCTAGTGACAGCTGGTGGTAGGGCTACCCTACACACGGATCCGTACACACGGCGTCTGTATACGTTTGGAGAATACAAGCAGGGATCGTGTCACATGTATGTGAGTTTTCTTAGCAAAAGTCATGTTTGATATGGTCTTGACTAAGGTTTTCAAAGAGTGTTTGCTATTTTAACAGAGTTAAACGGATATTGCTTACACTTTATTGGAAGCTGCTTTGCATTCATATTTCTGTTGCATGTATTTAGAGCTTACAACTAGCGTTGAAAGGTTGTCATGTGAGCTATGAGTACTGTACAGCTTTTGACTCTGAACCAACAGAATGAATGAGGACGTTATGAACGTGTCTTACTTAATATATATACTTTCTACGTGTAAAACATTTTGGCATTGCACTCTGCAGTCGCGTTACTTTAGATCATACGGTCTGTCTTTAGACGTTATCTTGAAATCAACGATGTGAAACTTTAGGAAACTATATAGTCTTATCAGTTACGCCTCTTACACCCCCAAACCCACTCCCCCGCACGGGTTAATATTGACAGTTTCCCCCCATAAAGAGTTTGAAAAATCGAAAGAGTGACAGTTGGTAAACATAACATCTACATGACCCGTGTGTCGCGTGTCTGCCTGTGTGCGTTCCAGCGGATACGAGATTTGCTGGGTATTTATAAGTTATACTAACACGCGATAAGAGGGTTGTCAACTCTTACTAGGCCGAACAGGTGTCTTGCCAACACACCTGTTGGCGATATTGTTGACAATTCTTGCTACTACATGCACAGGTAAGTCTAACACGATTGAATGTTTGGTCTTTGTGGCCTGCATACATATGGTTTGTTGATGTATTTATGTATGTGACTGGTAATCGATTCATATTGAATTATTACACCTATAACGCCCTATATAGACGGGCATCAAGCCTAGAACACATACTACGATTCTTGGCTAGTGGTCTTGTTAGGATAGTATCTTTTGTAGCTTGCTGCATAATTGGTATATCATCATCACATTCTTCTGTAACTAAGGCCCTATGGTCTTTTAGCTATACGTGTTGTCTACGCCTGTGATATCAGAGATGTCTGTTGCTATACGTCCCATCTGTAACTGTATAAAACGTCAAGTAGTCACATATTTTTTGTGTTATAGAATGTAAAGTTGTTTCAGATGCTTTTTTTTTTCAAAGCAAAGCGCCCCGGCTGCCAATGAACGGAAGCCACGTTGTAGTACAGAAGCTTATAAGATATATTAGCAAGCCATGAAATATTTACACAAGCCGAAAGTCGCTGTAAATTAACGATTGTGGATTACATTACACAGTTCCGTGAGCTAGCCATTGTTGGACAAAAGTAAGTCATAAAGTCGTCTGAAACGTATTTGGGGTGGTAAAACTAGCCTTGACTAAACTTCTAGTGACCTCTGAGCCACCTAGGCCAATAGTTGTGGATTACATTACACAGTTCCAAAGAGCTACCTGATAACACTACATGTACATTGTACTAGAAAAAAAAAGTCATAAAGTCGTCTGAAACGTATGGTGGTGAAAACGCCTTGACCAAAGTTTAGTGACCTCTGAGCCACCTAGGTAGCAATCGACCTTTACACCCTGACGTTTTACACAAAACAACTACTGTTTGCCAAGATAACCAACTCTGATACGATCCCCACATTGATGATGACAACTGTTGAGTACATGTCGTTAATTGGACTCAATACCTTCAGTGGGCGCGCCGTGCGTGTAGTCCACTTCAGTCAACCTTAACTACCTCCACACTTCAGTAATGGGCCTTCAGCCAAACCGTTCACATTGTAGTTTTACAGCTTAGGTCCAAAGAGCCGCGCTGTCAAGTATAGACAGAACAGCGCGTAAAAACGCCGACAACTATATATGGCTAGAGGAAGGGCATATCAGTGCGAGGAATGTTGTCCTGGCGGACTGACTTGGATTCTAAGATAGCAGACGGTAGGAGCTTTCTCACGAGGAACTGTTGTTACAGGGGAGACGTGAAGACTGTAGAATGGATCTGACGAGAAGGGAAAGCGCTGTAGAACAGCCTCTGCCGTCCTTAGACGAGGAACACGAGCACGATTCGGACGGAGAAGGGCCGGAGAGTGTGGACTCCAGAAGGGAGGAGGAGACAGGAGGTGTACCGGCACGTGTGTGGACATTCCTGCGGGAGTTCAGCGTGAGAGACTGGCTCAGGAATGCCAAGGACGCGGCGCTGGACTTACGGCAGTACGTGTTGGACGTGCCCGAAACTATCAAAGGTAACGTACTGTACTGTACAACTTGAGTATAATTATACTTTTTAATACTAGCCACTGCTTTGGTACAGGTAAATACCTTTCTCAGTACTTGGGCCAAAGTTAAATACTAAGAAACAGGACAGCATTCACCCCTGTGTTTTATGAATTAAACGTATCTCGACTAGTAAGGAAAGTTGTAAATATCAATTTCCAACCCTTCCAACTATTCTACCTCCTCTAGCGTTTTACCGAATCCGAAAGAAAAGTTCCCTGTTAACGTTTGAGTTAAAGAACAGAGCAGCACCCTCACTGTTACTGTCTAGTGCAGTCTATCTTGTCTTGTCAGATCGATCTAAACAATACCATATACAACTTTGATGTCTTACAAGCATGATAACGTAATCTCTGAGTGGATGGAACCCTGTAATTTTACCGCGGTATTGGACAGATTGACGTGGCACCCACACCCTCTGGTACAATAGCACTCAAGTGGGCGAAACCTGCGTCTATTGGGAAAGTTGTATCCATTCGTAGATATGCGAACAATGCATGGGATACTGGGCAACAACAGCTTGTGTATTCAATGATAACAAGAAACGACAGATCCTTGTATGTAACTGGTACATTTTGTACAGTAAAGCCCACGGTGTTATGAATGCACACAGCACGTAGTGCCGTGAGCGTGCTGGAATGTGTTGCCCTCTTGCGGATTGTGACTATAACGCAGATATTCTATTTTGGCATAACAAAAATATTACAATTTTGTCGAATTTCATACGTCAGTCATATACATCTCCCCTTTCATAGGGATATATGACATGCATTTCCTTGATTAAGGGCTTACTACAACTTATAAAGTCTATATAATCAACGATTGCGAACATCTACTATTTCCAAAAGTTCTAATTCTATACCAATAATAGTGCCTTTGAGGCGCTGGCTACTTATAGAGGACCACTCAAAAATTATATATATCTGAATAAAATGGAGCTAAATCTCACCACTCCAGCCACTCTAGAGCAATTTAACATCAGGACACACAAATTCAGAAGTCATGCTTAGCCGTACCTTGAAAATTCACACCAGGGTCACATGCTATTCTCTAATTGTCTGCGTTCTGAAGAGATATTGAATATTAATACTTTTGCCGTCATATCTCGTGTAGCATTGCGAGTGGCATTGGAGTGACTCTCATATGAGCATATCGTGTGACCCCACGACTTACTAATGGGGCTTTAATTTGATTGAGTGTTACGGAAATCGCCCTTCTCTGAGGGTATTGGGTCGTAATTTGGACTCTATTATTTAGCGAGGGTATCCGAGCTACCATCACGCGACTACGGGCTATACTAGTAATACTACAGGGCCATTTTCTTGGTAAAAGCGAGTATAGAAGACCTAGTGTTGGATTTGTGATGAAACTTACACGTACATCGGGGATAGCGGGAAAACACAACCGTGACCCGGGCACGGTTCTATCGTCTGAATCGCAAGGTAGGTACCGGTATGTCTCTCAGATATCCTATGTGAGGCTGGGCCTGAGCTCGAGAGATTTGCGCGTTTCAACGTATTTCAGATCGTCGTTTTATTTTGCACCGTGTGCCACAGCGACGCAAATTTTGGAATAGCCATTCTATAGTGTGCTATCGGGCATGTTATGGAATGGGGTACATACATGTACGTTAATATTGGCATGTTGCACCGTGTTCAAGACTTGAACAATGTTTCATACATTGAACAAATCAAGAACTAAATATGTATGTACATGTGTGTTCGTTTTGTTTAAGATTAACCATTTTCCACTGGAAAGAATGATAAGATTTCGTGGCTACTTTTGAACATTTGAATATCGGGATCATTTTCATGATTATTTCAAGAACCAAATAGAAGGATCATTTGAGTGGGCGGCTTATCAGAAATTAGGCCAGTTTAGCCTAGTACTGTGAATTCGAATTCCTGCACAATCTATTTTCTGGATATATGTAGGATAGAACAAAAAGCTACATTGGGTGCAGTATTGTTGGAATACCGGTCCTTTATCATTGCAATAATGGAAGAAAAAAATGAATCGCACAAGGCGGTGATAATAGGATGTTTGGACTCACGTGACCATGACGTAAGTGCTGTCCGCCATCTTGGATGGTTACACCTGTAAGCAGTAACTGTATACTGCATAGAACTGCATCAACAAACCGCGTAGCCAAAAAAAAACGCGTCTGGCAAGTATAGATTCAGTTAGGCTATGTTGATTTGATTGTATGGATGACATCCTCCATTCCATTATGAAATATACGTGGTCATGAAGGTCGACCAAATTACTAAACATACAGAGTATGGTATGGCGAATAATATTCTTAATTTTTATTTCTTCACATTTTCTTATTTTCCTTTGGAATTCATTTTGGCATTCTGAGACATTAGTGAGTATGATCGTTCTGCAATATTTTTTTCCAATCTTCGGCATATATTTGCCAATTTTGCAGTTTCTTTGTACGATTTACAGTATGGTTTAAAACGTTTTTGGAAACGGACGAAAAATCATGCATGCGCGCGTGGATGTCATCTAAATCAACATGTCATTACAGCCATTTATGTAATATGATATCGTGATGTATTGTGCCGTGTCGGCTAAATTAATTGGCTTGAGCCCCCTATTATGATACGTTTTGTAAGGTACAACGACCTCTGCTACTGTCAGAAATATCTGGGTTGAAGCTAGTTCCTGCATTGAGGCTACCTCCATGGTTCCTGCGTGCAAAAAAACATCGTTAGAATTGTTGGTTGGTGAAATCACTGCATCCAATATCCAAGGTATGCCTATACCTTGGGCAAATCATCACGATCACTGTACGTATGGCCAATTAGAGAAGTATAAGAATGCCATGCGCTTCCTTTGTTAAGAATTTCATTGGGGCATATCTTAAAAGGCCTGACTCGTACAAAGCTACTAGTAATTGTGGCATTGGTAGTGGCCTCTCTCGTTAATCTTACACAATCATGTTATATAACCACAGCTCAATAACCTGACTCAAGTGCCCGACCATGAACTTTAGTACGTAGTTAAGGGGTAAACCAAAATGGATAGTGAGGAGAGGGTAGGAAAATGATAGTGCAATATTTGTAATTTGAAAATGATCTACACTCACACTTTCTTCTTTCAACTTAGTATATAAATAGACCTGTCCTGTCGGCTTATTTTGGTTCCCCCTTGTGCGTTTTACAGATGGTATAGCCCAAGAGGATCTTGGAGCTTAAGTAGGTTGACATAACAAGCCGTCGGCTGTAGTTTCTCACTCCAGCGGGATAGCACTTGACGGGTCCTATCACAGTACTACTTTATATACGACAATGCCACCCACAACTGCTGTCGTGCCAGTTGTCGTACGTATGTCTGACATGTTAACAGAAGGTGTTTTCTAAGTACCTTCTTTCCCAATTTGCCTCAAGGTTTACCGAGCAAACAATCTCCAAACCCCTCTTAATTATAAGGACGTCTCTTATTGTTGTCCTTGTTTGTGGAGTATATAAGATGGTGATGACATGGTAGGGGTGTCGTTTGTTAGAAAACCTGTCTCTAAGACCGTCCACAAAACATGTAATATTAAGATTTTTTTTTCAAACCGCAAGAAAGAAAGTCTGATTCTTCTGATATTAAAGAAAAATCGTCGTGTGAGTGATACTCCGTAGTCACAGTAGTGTTTAATTAAATGAACCCGGTCCGGCCTCCTTTGTTTGAAGTGGTTTAGTCTCAAGTTATTCGAGAAAACATACTAACAAAGAGGCGCCGTGCCCGATAACACCTGCTCAGCGGCGTGAGAGGTCCCGGGCTCCTGCGATGGTCCCTCGTCACCAGCGGGGCGTTTTCTCTCATAGCCCGAGGGAACAGTTACTTGTGCAGTGACCTGCGATAATTATGCCACGTCGTAGGAAGAGAAGCTCAGTAGCAAGTCAACTCTTCACATCATGGGGTAGGTACGTAGTAGGTGGGTGTGTACGTGTGACTCCGGTTCGATCCCTTCGATTCCTGGTTCGATTCCCAACGCTAGCCACTTGCCCACCTGGGGTTTTATGCATGAATGTTATGAAGATATCAGCGGGATAATACTCCAGTGTGTACACAGAGCTGGTAATCCGTGTTAAGTGGATATCTGTCGGTCGCCATGTTACGTACACGTCGCAGATCAAGGCGAGGTGAGTTCACCACGATGACATGTTTGTAACTAAACTAACATAGCTGGAATGCCAATATCCTGTTCCAAAGGCTTCGGTCAGTGAACTCAAGTCACGGAATCGCTCTGGGTCTTTTAGGTGCATTGCCCTGTTCTAAATGGCCCAGTTGTGTTACCGAAAAGCTGTTTCTAATATATCTGTATGGTTACCGGTTTGGTGACCTCCACTGTATATTGAAAACACGCCCAGTTTGTGTCAGGTGGGCGAGTCTCGAGTGTTATACAGAACAAGTGGCACAGAAAGGCGGAGGGAGGGTTCGTTATGTATACAGGGCGGGTGTAACACCCTCCTTTACCCGTCCTGAAGGACGTAGTAATGTTAGCCTGGATGCCAGACTACTAGTATTTAGCTTTAGTACGCGCACTCGTCGTAGGAACACCGAAAGAATACTGTGTACTTGCATCTAGGCCAGTACGGTATCTAATGGTAATTGGAGGTGGGTTAGCCTGGATGTCAGACTGTTGTCTGGGCCAGTGACACAGACCAGCCCCCCAGTTAGACCTCTCAGAAGCAGTCTGGCGAGTCTGTTGCTCGGGGTCTAACTGAGGGATGTCTATGGTAAAACGACTGCACGTTGGCCTTGGAGCGGCGGAGCTAGCCTATATATTAACCTTGGCAACAGTCTGGCACCGAGGCTAGAGGTGGAAGGCCTAGGGATGTATAGTAAACACCGTCTGAAGTGTTGAAACAACAATTCCTGCCGCTACACTGAACACACTTTCAGAGAACTGGACAGTATTTCCTGACAGTTGAAGAGGTTTTCGTTGTTTACATGACAGCAACCTGCCCCTACACCAACGCACTTTCTGAGAACTGAACAGTATTTCCCATGTTTTTAATTGGGGTATAACGAAATTTAAAAAAAAAAATGAAATTTCATATGTGTTGGTAGTAACCATAGTAAAATGTTGAACTTTATTCCAACACAAGAGTTACATTGACAGAGATCAAATTTTTGACGACCACTGTCGCCTTCATCAGGATGATTAATGACCAATCACTTCCAAACGTAAACTCGTCATTAATTATCTTGATGAAGGCGACAGTGGTCGTTGAAAATTTTATTTCTGTGTTAACTCTGGTGTTAGAATAAAGTTCAACATTTTACTAAAATAAAAAAAAAAGAGTTAAAGAAGTTTTCGTTGTTTACAGGTTCGCTGTGGTCTCAGGCGGCGCCCACGGAGAAGTCGGTTATCGACGAGTCCAGACAGCTCATACGGGACTACATCAACGGCAGGCTGAAGAAATCCAACCTCACCCGCGGCAGACTGCCGGATGCCAAACGCAGACCGACAGAGGTTACAATATTTCACGATATCTTTTTAATACTACAGGACAAAAACTACCATTTTTACATCGTGATGTTGTATAGTAGGAATCATATTACAAATCTAGGAAAGACATGTTAATTCGACAAACTGCACATACAGAAACACAGTAAGTGTTCAACAACAATAGTAACAGCACAAAATTTTCTGGATTTCAACTTATTATCCAAAGGTTGTTTCTTTTAGTACAGGCAATCATCATTTCTTTTTGTGTTCCTAACTTTTTATTTCAACTATGAGGGCTGGAAGATATGATGCCTTTTTGAAGTGTGTTACATATTCCCCAGGTAGGCCTCAGGGCCTGTCATCCTCAGTCTCCATTCCTTGCGGTTTTGGAAGACCCCCTCCTCCGTAATTTTGCAAGTCTGCAGAGTCTCTACTTTTTTACTGTTTTTTGGTGTCTCTTTCTCCAAGCACTACTTTATTTCTCTGTTGGTGGCCAGGTGTCCTCCCAGCTCCAGAAGATGGGAGGAGAGTTAGAGAGGATGTACCCTCACCTGTACCGGGACGTGTCCAGACAGATCAACATCACACTGTCGTCTGAGTCCATCCTAGAGACCAGCTTTGAGGTAATCTATTCATTAATCATTCTTATCAGCCATTGCGAGCCATTGCGAAGCTAGGTTAACGTGTTTGCACTCACGTGACTATGACGTCAGTATTGTCTGCCATGTTGGATGATTAAACCTGGCTGTTACAGTGTCAATTTAAATTTGCAACGTAATTACATTAATTTTATGTAATTACAAAGTTATTCACGTATATGATTCATTTAGGTCAGAATCTTAAAGGTTCAACCAACCAGTAGTTGTGAAGTGTTACAAGCCGAAATGAGCAGTAGCTAGTAAGAGGTCATTTTTAGAAATTAATGTCACAATAACAGAAGGCCGAATCAGACACCGATATTTGTGACGTACACAATATCGGAGCTTGCATGGGGTGGGGGGGGGTAATGATTACGAATTACGCAAAAATTTCGCCATCTATTACGAATTACGTTAAAGTCTCAGAGGTGATTACGACTTTACGCTTTGCGGCTAATGTACTATTACGAATTACGTTGATTTTTTGGGAGATTGGCTACGGATTACGAAGACTAAAAAGGCCTGATTACGCCTTACGAAAATAGGGCATTTTTGTTCACGTGCCATGTGCTTCTAATATCTGATGATCCTACCATACACTTTGCACAAGTCTGTAGAAGTCATGTTGTGAATCAGCGAGAAGAGTTGAACATCGCTTTGGCTGAAGGCCAAGTGGTCGACAGAGAACCTCTTAAATTCACAGTGGAGTGTCTGGTTACTATTAGGCAGATTCTTTCCCGAACCCTTAAGACTCGTTAAGGGTATAGAGTAGTGGACCGTGCCAGATGTACCTTCTCCAACTTAATGGAGATCAAGTAGCGGCGTTAAGATCCAGACAATTGTAAAACCCAATTTGACCCCGGAGAAGGAGAGTAGATGTTTCTGGAGTCTGATTCCGAATTGGTTAACCTTTACAGATCTTTATAGCCGTCCTTCAGAGTATTAAACACACGCCAGCTTCACCTGTATGGAATAGGTAGAGGTGGGAAACCATTTAAAAGATTTTTTTAACTCTAGAGATTTTAGTGTCTGATTGACAAGCGTTGTATATGTCCTAATTATCAACTAAAAGTCATAGGTCAGAGTCAGAGATCTCACCCTAACCAATTACACTTCTTAATTCTCCCTGCCACTGGGAAGATCACATTCCTCAGATTCTTACAGGGTTTGCAGCCTCCTATTGGAAACAGAAGCAGAGCGCTAGCGGAAGAGATTGACACGAAGTCAATTTTGGTGACGCCTCAGGGGCGATGCTGATTGTACAGAACTGCAATTGAGTTGAAAATATTTTCAAAATTCTACGAATGCATTTCTTAGGGAATAGGAATAAAGACTCTAGAAAAACAAAACAGGGAAGGAAGGAAAACCAAAGTTAGATGAAAAATTAGGAGAAACGACGAAAAAGTGCAAGAAACTACGAAATGAGCCTGTCGTATTTGTTTGATGTTTGATGTTTTATTCAAAATCCATTATTTAAACATATCATTCTAATCTATTCTTCCTCACATTCATTAAAAACATAAACAGCGTCATATCATGACAAACACAAATAACACAACACACACATACATACATACCAATTGAACTCACATAGCTACAAGCAACATCAACATTTCAAATCCCTTTTTGTATATTTCAGACGGTTGCTAACGAACTGTTCAGTACGGGGATCACGTGGGCGCGGATCGTGGCGATGTTTGCGGTAGCGGGTGCCTTCGCGGTGGACTGTGTTCACCAGGGACATCCCATGTTCACACGCCGGCTCGTGGACGTCGTGGTGGACTTCACCGACAGAAAACTGTCCGCGTGGCTCGTACAGGAAGGAGGATGGGTAATAACTTTTGTTCTAGTTCTTTCGCAATTCAGTCTCAGCAGACCGTAACCTTTGCACTTACCCCGTGATATATTCGTCAAAATAGATGTCAAAAGATATAAAATCACCGTATAATCAAAATTTCTATGCTTAGCTTTCCTATCTACCTCCGTGTACGGAAGTTTTCTTTTCGGTGTGGTTGTATTTATTTGAATAGTGTCGAGACACAGGACGTGAGGAGGAAATGGTGTAACCACAGACACAATTTGGAGGTCAAAATGGTGACCTCCAAAGTGACAGCGGAAAATGCCCAGAATGAGAGAGAAATTATGTATAATAATGAATAAAAGAAGTTATCCACAACAAATCCAAATAAATACTTCAAGAAGGAGCGGAATCTTAAATTTTCTCTTTTTTAATTTCATCTTGCAGTACGGACTAGTAAAGCACTTCAGAGGAGACGGAAGGACGCACATGTTCTGGGCCATCAGCGGGATCGGCGCAGCCATTGGTCTAGCTGCTACATTCTTTGTCATTGACCCTTGACCTCAATTTGCGTGGTTACCATGACCATGAGAGCCATAGCAATTTTAATTTAATTAAAAAGTAGCGTCTAAAGCCAAAGAGCTGTGCTGTCTTAAAATTCTGTGCGTTGAGCGGATTCCTCGTGAAATTGCCTCACCTACATCTTTTAAAAACGTTCTGTAATGATTTTGATGTGCAAAACATTTTCCAACAGTGTTAACATGTTGGGTGTGATAGCATTAACGTTACATATTCATATTCCTTTTTTATCTTGAATACCTGCCTCAATATCCGCAATCTGTGGATGTATATGTTTGTATTGTTTATTGTGTTATAATGATAAACTACTTGATAATGCCGGTACCTATGCAGAGCCATTAAAGCCTACCACTTATCAGTTTAATATGGATGTGCATGGAGACCTTTACACTTAATTAACACCACTAGGAACTGCGATTTTTCCTCAGTAATTTGAGAATATGATATTTGTTCTCTTTGTTCAGTTTAATTTCATGCTTCTCTTTGCTTGTGTTACTCTAAATTAGATCGTGACAGGGAAAAAACACTGAAAACGTTGCTGCTTCATAACCAATGTCTTTTTCTTTCGAATACTTGTACGCTATAATGAATGACACTACTATAGTGGCAGGAACGCGTGTAGAGGTATTTTCTGACAAAGTTTAAGTAACATATAGAGGTATTTTAATGATATATATGAATAAACTGAACATCGACAGATGTATTTCGTACTACATGTATTAGGAATGACAACTGATTGGCGGTCTTAGTAATAAGGTTTTCTACAACCAAACAATGAAAAAGGCAATATATATTTTCGAGGCATCATGCTGCTGTTGCTGTACAATCTTACGTTAATAAAGTCAACTCTACACAGGTTATATGTCATGATCTACTTCAATAACAGTGTACCAGCAATCTCTCCATGGATTTACATGAAATGGGCTTATGACAGAGAGACGGCGTTTGGCAGTTTCCTACAATGGTGGACGGTTCCTGACAAAGTTGGACAGTACCAGACTACATGCAGTTCTATCACTTTCTGTCAGGGGGCGCAACTACACGTGACAGGGTCGGACCGCTAACCGGTCCAGTTTCTTTTTCCACCAACCCGAAATTCTTTTGGGATACTAGAAAAATAAACATTGATATAATAAAAGAAGGGATTAAAGTTTCCCTTTAATACCCCCCGCATGTCATCTAATATTCTATAATTAGAAGAGTTTACAACCGAGTGGATTCCATGACATGTTCTGTAACGAAGCCGGGATTGTCAACCTCAATCTTTTCCTACGTCCTCTCTTTCCGCACCTTTCTTTTTGCAGCATCCTGTGAAAATCCTATCGTAGGGCTTATTAATTAAGTGCGTGCAGGGCGAGGGGAAGGAAGTCCCACGTACAGTTTCTTTGACAGCGAGGTGGTATGTATTACTGTAGTAATACTGAAGTAAGCTGAATACTGGATTGCATGGATATGTTATCTCCAAGCAGATACAGGATGGCGTGAATCGGTTACCTCCAAGCAGATATAGAGTGGCGTGGTTAAGTAATCATCAAACAGATACAGGGTGGCTTGAATAATACACACAATAACCAGAATAATACCGTTAAAGGTTGATTTGAGCCGCAGCAATCTGCAAATACGCATGTAGATAGATGACGAAATGAGATTTTCGACATACACACACACACACACACACACACAGGGCACACGCACAAATGCACACGGGGCACACGCACAAATGCACAGGGCACACACCGGACACCTCTTCAGTTTACGTTTATTTGGGGCCATTAGTACAAGAATGTCAATGTTGTTTAATCTTCACTTTCTCCTTATGTAATACATTTAAAAAAAAGGTGTTACATATTTGACCTTCTACCATTATCTGAAGTGTAGTATCTCTTTCCTCCATTTGTAGTATCTGTATACAGTACTGGTTGTAAGAGCCTCAATGATGTACACATGATTTAATTTACTTCATACCCTGAAACGGATACCACATTTATCGCATGTGAAAATAAATGGTCTTTCCTTTTTTTTTTCAAGTGCCGTGTCATATTGGACTTGTATGAGGTATGAACCACTAGAATCCGAGGTTGGGGCGCTGTGCGTCTGTGCCATCCGCAGATGTTCCAGAGTCTCAGGGATGTGGCGGGCCGGGCTGTAGGGCCAACAGCTTCCTCATGAAGGTGTGCGCACCCCTCCCCCTGTTGTAGGCTGCTTGGAGACCTAGTAAACAAAAATAACCTGATTGAAATGATTGAAAAGTGGCAATTAATTTCAAAAAATGAAGTACAATGATTTACAATTGATAATAAAAATATACGTACCGATCTCCTTGATATGGCTGAATACACACTTCCCCCAGTGAAATGAGCATCCTCTCCTCTTAATGTCGGGAAAACTCGGTCGAACGCTATCCGCATGGCCTGCTCGTAGTCGAAGACAACAGCCCGGACGCGTTGTGGTGATGGCAGGAATCGAACCACCTCCCGGATGATCTGAAAGGTAAGTTGGGATTTATTAGGATCAGGCTCTTTAGAGGATTTTATCAGGATTTCAAGAAAAGATAATGATATAGTAAATAGTTGATATTACCTAATCATGAATGAATTTATCCTTGCCGCTTCGTAGTCCTCTTTGGTCTTCCCCGACTGTGTTTGCCTTGCGGCATGATACTCACATTTCTCACACTTATACTTTTTTCTCCACCGTGTTTAAGGTGTCGTTTCAGGTGGTAGCGTTTGTCTTCAGTGTGTTTAGCCACGTGTTTGCCTGGGGGTTGCTAAGCCGGCCTGGTTGTCCATTCCTACAGTGAAATACAAAATGTAGAAAGATTGTCACGTTTTATATCACATATCATAACCACTTTTCAAACTTCTGCGGCTATAAAATATTCATATTTATACAGTTAATAGTACATTATGCCACAAACAGTTAACAGTTATCAGTTGAAACGATGCCCACCTGCCTGTGATGCGGTGACTGGAGAGGTGACACACCAGCCACACTTTTATTTTATTAATAACTCCTCTATCAGGTATTCCTGTGCAACAAAACACAACAAAGTTATTCCTGAACCACGATGTGTTACGAAACACCCCCCCCCCACCACCCACCACACACACACACCACCACACACACACACACACCACCACCACACACACACACACACCTATACGACCAGCCCAAAGTTTCAGGACTGAAACTGGAAACGCGACATTTTGCCTTAGTCTGCTCCTACTAACAATTGTTCCCAAGTTTCCACTACAGTCAAACCTGCCTACATTGGTCACTCAAGGGACTGGCCAGATGCCAGCATTCAATGGTTAAATTTGAACTAGAATATTTACCAAGAGAACTTCACCTAACCAGGCTTGGGGAGATGAAGCCAGCTTTCCCGAAGCACTTGTTGATGGTCTCCTTCCATGCTTTGTCAGCCCAGCGGATAGCATCCAGAAGTGTTATCTTCTTCACAATGTCCATACCCGTGCACGTGGCTTCTTCGTCCTTCTGCAGCTCGCTCACGATCCTGTTTAGGTCAGCGCTGTGTTAAGAACTGAATAACGCGAGTCTATACATGTCCCGACACGCTTTCGTCCGTGTCACGTGTTTTAAGTCCCGTGCGGTCTCGTTGTCGAGCTTCCACATGCTTGTCTCATCTAGAGCTGATTTGCATATCAATCAGTCTCCGAAGATTGTCTCGACATGCATGCTGGGAAGGCTACTAAGATGGCGCATCCAATTTAGCTGTCCGTATTGAGGATTAATATCCATTGGAATCCTCCATGGTGGCCGCCGCTTGGTGGCCAAAACTCTTCTTGTTGGGTTAGGCAAACTGGGTTTCATTCCTCTGTGGTGTTATTTTTGGCCCTACTGTCGGATTCACAGAACTTTGCCTGCCATATGTCTGCCTCCCCATTTGCTAATTCTGATCACAGGGAGACTGCTTCTCAATTCATTCCGAGTTCTGCCTCATTGGGCTTGCATTCCGTAACTCCGCTGCTGAACACAGGGAGTTAATATCTCGATAGGTTCTTCTCTGATACCTGGTTTCGTATTCTGGTTTTTACTGTCTGTGTTAGTAGCTTAGCTAGTAATCTTAATATTTCAGCCTTGTTCATACCCCCTCCCCCTCCCCCTCATCTAGAGCTGATTTGCATATGAATCAGAATTTTCCAGTTGCGAATCCTGAGCATGACGGCTGCTACCGGTCGAGCTGTAATCCAGTACCTGTTTCAGCTTTAGGATTAAATGTGTATTTGATATGTCCATCGCCCAGCTTTCATACTCCTTCCCTGTCAGTGATCGGGATAGAAGTTGGGCAAGCAATCTCGATTCTCGGTCAGGCCATTGAACTCTGGCCTTTTCCAAACTGGCATGGATCCCTCTGATGTACCAAATATTATACCTTCAGTCAGTTCTTTTCTAACCTCTTGACCCTCAGTCAGTTCTCTTCTAACATTTTCAAGGTGCATACTGGGAAGGCTACCAAGATGGCGCATCTATCTAAGCTGTCTGTACTGGGGATCGAAATCCATCAGAATCCTCAATGTTGGCCGACGCTTGATGCCTAAAACTCCACTTGATTGGTTCTACAAACTGGGTTTCATCAAACCTTGGTGTTATTCTCGGTCTCACTGTCGGATTCAATGAATCTTACTTGCTATATATCTGCCCTCCCACATTGGAAATCTCATTGGGATGTGTTTTCATGTGGCGCGTCAAATTAGAATTTTATAAAATGTTTTAAAACCACACTCCCCACATAAATAGGGCTGGGTGTGGTTTTCCATGTGTTTGTCTAGTGTGCCTTTTTGTGCCGCTTGATGTCAAAAACTCTACTTGATTGGTTCTACAAACTGGGTTTCATCAAACCTTGGTGTTATTCTCGGTCTCACTGTCGGATTCAAGGAATCTTACTTGCTATATATCTGCCCTCCCACATAGGAAATTTCCCACTATTGGAAAATGACACTTTTTTCATCTTACAGCCCGTCTACTATCCAGGATTGTATCCTGTGACTTCGTAGTTTGAATGGCGGGCACTGGGTTCTTTTTCTGATTCCTGCTTTGTTGTCGGATTTCGGCCTATTTAAATTTCTGTGCTCGTTTAATGTTCATCCCACCTCACGGCATTTTGATACATACAGTTCCTCATGCAGCCCACGGCACTCTAAGGTCCCCCGTGCCATCGAGAATCCTCAGTTAGCTGCTCAATATATGGACTACTAATATTATGCTCACTGGGTTTTAATGTCTGGGTTATAATTTAGGTAGTACTTTTGAATCTTATCCTTGTTTAGAACAAGTTGTTTATCCCCCCTTCCCCTCATCCTTGGCTGATTTGCATGTCAAACGGCACATTTTCCAGTGTACGAACCCTTGGGTGATTTGCATCTCAAGCGGCACCTGTCCCGCTGCACCGTCACGTCAGCCCAATCTCATCATGCGGCTGCTACTGGTCATGCTGTAAACCAGTAACACCGGTGTCACAATGGGGACACCGATATGTTTCTTTTTTACATACACGGTGTTTGGACATGTGTTTGTCCAAATGATCTTGCCTTGTAGCATGATAGTCACATTTCTCACACTTATACTTTCTCCACTGTGTTTAAGGAGGTGTCTCTTCAAGTGGTCCTTCCGTGATGTGGTGTACTCACCCTGCGAACACGTTTTTTTCTTGTGAAGCATAATAGTCACAGTGTTCACAATCATAGTTTTTTTCTGTATGTTTTGACAATTTGTTTCTTTAAGTGACCTTTCATCTCAGCAGAATATTCACACTGGTTACAGGGAAAAGGTTTAAGACCAGCATGTTCAGTCATGCGTCGGTCTGGATAACGCAAAGTGTACACTGATACTTCTTAACAGCCTTAGCTCCTCCGGAACAAGTTTGTCTTGGGGTTGCTAAACCGACTTTGTTGTCCATTCCTACAGTGAAATACAAAATGTAGAAAGTGTACACTAATACTTCTTCACAGCCTTAGCTCCTCCGGAACAAGTTTGTCTTGGGGTTGCTAAACTGGCTTTGTTGTCCATTCCTACATTGAAATACAAAATGTAGAAAGATGTCACGTTTTATATTACATATCATAACCACTTACAAAGATACCGGCCTATAATTTGCCGGATCTGACTTGCTTCCCTTCTTGTAGATCGGCGTGACACTTGCTTCCCTCCACTGGTTAGAACTTCTGCATTACTCACACTTGAGGAGTATAATTGTCACACTTGGCACATTTGTACCTTTTTTCCTCATGTTTAACCACATGTTGCTGCAAGTGTTTTTTCTGTGCAGCAGACTAGTCACAATGGGGACACTTATATGTTTCGTTTTCACACACACTGTGTTTTGACATGTGCTTGACTGATGAAATTTTCGGAAACATATATTTAAGGCCCGATTTTTCTGACTTTACTTTCTTTGTTCTTTGAATTCTGTGGTTCATTCCATGTGTCTTACCATGGTCTTACTTAGTCTAGTCTCGACTTGTTGTCTTACAGTACCAAATATTATATCTTCATTCAGTTCTCTTCTTACCTCTTGACCTTCAGTTCAGTTCTTTTCTGTCTTTATAACCTCTTATAAAGCCTTACAGTACCAAATATTATACCTTCAGTCAGTCAGACAATTTATGTTTCTTGAAGTGATCTTTCCTCCTAGCAAAATATTCACACTGGATACACTGAAAAGGTTTAAGACCAGCATTTCTAGTCATGTGTCGGTCTATATTACCTTTCTGCAAGGCAGAAAAATCACAATGTGTACACTGATACTTTTGAGTCTTAACAGCCTTAGCTGCCTTTTCCCCACATCCGAAACAAGTTTGCCTGGTTGTTGCTAAAACCGGCCTGGTTGTCCATTCCTACAATGAAATGCAAAATGTAGAAAGATTGTCACGTTTCTCGTAGATCGGCGTAACACGTGCCTCCCTCCACTGGTCTGGAAGTTCTGCATTACTCACACTTGAGGAGTATAATTGTCACACTTGGCACATACCCTGCCTGGGTACAAAATATACCCGCCATAGTTTTAGAACATCGGACTCGCCATATCCGGATTGGTCCTAAAAATGTGATCTTTTTCAGGAATGGTACAATGACAGGCAGTGACAAGTGTAGATAAGATACCACATTTATCGCATGTAAAAATAAATGGTCTTTCCTTGTGTTTTTTTTCATGTGGCGCGTCAAATTGGACTTGTATGAGGTCCTGAAACCACACTCCTCACATAAATAGGGCTTGGTGCACATGTGTTTCTCCATGTGTTTGGTAAGAAGGCTTTTTTGTGTAGCAGAATAGTCACATTTGAATCCTTGTCCATTCCTACAGTGAAATACAAAATGTAGAAAGATTGTCGCGTTTTATATAACATATTATAACCACTAAATTTTCTTTCTCCACTGTAGGAGGAGTAGGTGTCGTTTTAGGTGATCTTTTTTTTCCCGTAGCATATTCACAATGCTTACACTTAAATTTCTTGTGAACAGCTCCTCTTCTTTCAGCCTCGTTGTCCATTCCTACAATGAAATACAAAATGTAGAAAGATTGTCACGTTTTATATTACATATTATAACCACTTTTCAAATTTCTGCAGCTATTGATATTCATATTTATACAGTTCATAGTACATTATGCCACAATTATAACTGTTAGTATTGCCATATTGTGGAGAGGCTGTTGCGACTTTCTAATACCTATGTCCTATATACTGACCTGATGAAATTTTCGGAAACATATATTTAAGGCCTGAATTTGCTGACTTCACTTTCTTTGTTCTTTGAATTCTGTGGTTCATTCCATGTGTCTTACCATGGTCTTACGTAGTCTAGTCTCGACTTGTTGTCTTACAGTACTAAATATTATATCTTCATTCAGTTCTCTTCTGACTTCTTTGACCTTCAGTTCAGTTCTATAATATCTCTTTATAACCTCTTATAAAGCCTTACAGTATCAAATATTATACCTGTTAACTAAGATTACAAAATGTACCTGATGTCAAGACTTGAAACTTACTTCATACCCTGCCTGGGTACAAAATATACCCGCCATAGTTTTAGAACATCGGACTCGCCATATCCGGATTGGTCCTAAAAATGTGATCTTTTTCAGGAATGGTACAATGACAGGCAGTGACAAGTGTAGATAAGATACCACATTTATCGCATGTAAAAATAAATGGTCTTTCCTTGTGTTTGTTCATGTGGCGCGTCAAATTGGACTTGTATGAGGTCCTGAAACCACACTCCTCACATAAATAGGGCTTGGTGCTCAGTTAGACAATTTATGTTGAAGTTATCTTTTCTGAGTTTCCAGCAAAATATTCACACTGGTCATACCGAAAAGGTTTAAGACCAGCACGTTTAGTCATGTGTCGTGTGTGTTATATTACATATTATAACCACTTGTCAAATTTCTGGGGCTATTCATATTCATGTTTATACAGTTAATATTACACTATGCCACAATGCATTATAACTGTTAGTATTTCCATATTGTGGAGAGGCTGTTGCGATTTTCTAATACCCTATGTCCTATATACTGACCTGATGAAATTTTCGGAAACATGTATTTAAGGCCTGATTTTGCTGACTTCACTTTCGTTGTTCTTTGAAATCTGTGGTTCATTCCATGTGTCTTACCATGGTCTTACGTAGTCTAGTCTCGACTTATTGTCTTACAGTACCAAATATTATTCCTTCAGTCAGTTCTCTTCTAAGACACAGTCACACTTGGCACATTTGTAGCTTTTTTCCTCAGTGTGTTTAATCATATGTTGGTGCAAATTGTTTTCCGTGCAGCAGAATAGTCACAACCGGGGGACGCTAATATATATTTCTTTTTCACACGCACTGTGTTTGGACATGTGTTTGTCCAAATGATCTTGCCTTGTAGCGTGATAGTCACAGCAGGGCTTGGGGAGATGAAACCATATTTCCTGAAGCACTTGTCGATGGTCTCTCTGCCATGGCGCCAGTCTTCTTCCATGCTTTGTCAACCCAGCGGATAGTATCTAGGACTGTTATCTTCTTCACAATGTCCATACCCGTGGCTTCCTTGTCCTTCTGCAGATCGCTCACAGCCCTGTTCAGTTGGAGCTTTCTGTAATTCAGCATCACTGTTTGGATGATCCCCAGTGGAATACTCACACTTGTGGATTTTCCCCGTTCTGTGTGTAACCGTATGTAGGTCCAAGTCGTTTTTCCGTGCAGCAGAATACACTGCATGGGCACATTTGTACCTTTTTTCCTTAGTGTGTTTAACCATATGTTGTTGCAAAATTGTTTTCCGTGCAGCAGAATAGTCACAAATATGTTTCCTATCAAGTTTTTAACACACACTGTGTTTGGGCATGTATTTGTCCAAATGATCTTGCCGTGTACGTCGATGAAGGTAATACAATACGCCAAAAAGCAGTTACTCAAGCAACTGGATATGATTTTGGAAACGGTCAGACGTTTCAGCTAGTATCCACTAGCTTTCGTCAGTGATCTTTCCGTGTAGCATGATAGTCACATTGCTCTTAAGGGGGTGTCTTTTCAAGTAGTCATTCCGTGATGTGGTGTATAACATATTACTAGTACCTGTTGTTAGTCTTTACTTCCCTTGCAATCTTCTTTCAAAAACCCTTCTTGCTTGCGTCTTGTCGCATGTGTAGCCTCACTTCTTGCGTACTTCTTCCAGTCTTCTTTGTTTTTTTGCGTTAAGATATCCACGTGTGAAATTTCTTCCTTGTTTTTCTGTAAGTGGCATTGTTCATCCATGGTGGTTTAACTTGCATATTGTTTATTTTCCTCATGGGAACATGGTCATTTACTGATTTAAGGATCCAACATTGCAATTCGTTAAGTGCTTCATGTGTGTTCTTGTTTTCAAATTTTTCTTCCCAGTTTAGGTCAAGATCCTTCCTAATGTTGTCATGTCGCATGCTTTTGTCATAGTTCAATGATGATCTCCTCCCATCCACATGTGTGTAGTAATCAAATCTGAGTTCAAGTCTGACATGATCACTCGCTCCCAGTGGATCATGGTACTCCAGTTCTTCCACCATCTCTGGTTCATTGCTAAATATGAGGTCGTCCACTGTTGGAGTTCATTCCTATATCTCGTTGGTTCCTTTACGTGTTGATGCAAGTATGTGTCTCTTATGCATTCTATGAACCTGCTTGCGTGATTTCTGTGCCTAACACATGTGGTGAGGGGGTCTATCTGATTGCTGGATGGTTAAAGTCTCCTGCAATAAGCGCGTGTGTTGCCAGGCCATTAGTTGCCTACTTCAGATTCTCATGTAGGGCGTCATCACGTGTGCATGCAAGAGCTGGTCTGGTGTACCGGATCTGTATATCACCCCAATTATATCACCCCAATCCGTATGTTGTTGTTCCCCTGACTTTGTATCTCTACCCATGTGCTGTCGTGGAATGTTTCCACATGTGCCAAAGTCTGTTTGGCTTTGAGTGTTGTCTTAGACTGCAGAGCCCAGCACCAAAAACTTTCATTAAAGCTCAGTTCTGAATAGTTGAAGGAATGCGTGTAGAGGTATTTTCTGACAAAAGTTCTTATGACATATAGAGGTATTTTAAGAACATTTAAGTATATGCTGAACATCGACACAAATGTATTTCATACTATTAGGCCATGTTGATTTGATTATATGGATGACATCCTCCGGGAACCCTAAAATTGATGCGCGCGTGCGAAAAGAAAAAAAAGTTTTGAAAAAAAAGTTGTTTTTATTATGAAATCTACCTGGTCATGAGGGTTGAACAAATGGGACAGAATATGGTTTAGTGAATAATATAGTCTTCAAGTTCATTTCTTTACAATTTCGTCTTTTTTCGTTTGATTTTGGCATTCTACGACATTGGTATGTTTTTTTTTGTAACTTACGAAAATTCATGCGCGCGCGGATGTCATCCATATAATCAAATCAACATGGCCTTAGATATGACAAAGAAATATCATATCATTGGGATTGCGAGTCACAAAGTCAACAATTTGTATGCGTTACAACTTATTGGCGGTCTTAGCATTGGACAGTTTCTGACAAAGTTGCAATTGGCCGGTTTCTGACAAAGTTGGATGGTTCCTGACATACTTGGACGGTTCCTGGCATAGTTGGACGGTTTCTGACAAAGTGTGACAGCTTATGACAAATTTGGATCATAGATTGTGTCTGGCGAAGTCTGACATAGTTCTGACAATGACTGTTTCGTCTAATTGTCATTTACAATGTCTAAAGCAAAACGTAACATAATTCGGGAGCATATAGCCTCAAAGCATGCTAGCAAATGTCGTAATACTGAGAAATTAAAACTGGCGAACCTAGTCTGCTTAAACAAGTGAGTCCCGACTAACTAAACATTTGAATTTCGAAATATTTGTACCTTTCTATAGACATTACTTCGCACATATACGTAACAGTTCTCAACTTTTACAATGATTATAATAAATGTGGACGAAATACACAAATACAACAGCGTCCTCTGGCGGAATTTTGCTGCACGGAACACGGTGTCATACGAAGCTTTCTTTCATGATACCATCCTTCTCTCCCAGCAGCCAGTAGGTTGTAAGGGACCCTTTGCCCTGTGTAGAGAGAACGAATGGTATTAGCTCATTCACGTGGTGTCAATGATACATCTAGCGGAATTAAAGTGTACTGCAGATGATATGTTTATAGCGAAACGTACTGATAAATCGATAAACATGCACGTTACCTTTATGTCCATTTCTCCTCTCGACTCGAGCAGGAATCTTTCTGTCTGACACAGGGCTTGGTAGGTGCTCTCGCTGACGTGGATTCTGAGGGCTAGGTGGACACAAATTACCACAAACAACTTTCAATACTACACGACATCAGTACAGGGTAAGGAAGCTGGACACTGCAGACCATAAGTAGCTCTTACAAATTACGAATGGCGTTAGTATTTCATAAAGGGAACACTCATAACATGCACACCCTTCTACACTTCCTGACCACCTGTGACGTGTATTAATCCTGAACAAATACCTGAAATGAAGTGGTGCTCTAAGAAATATAGCATGCGCAGGCAAGCAAGATATTAGATTGTGTTATGTGTGATTTCACTCGGCAATGATATTAAAGTGCACTTTACAGTTATCACTGCCGGGTGAATGGATGTCTGGAGAGGTACACATTACGACCATTATCATAAACCTAGCTGAAGACAGTCAGAACAAGAGTAAACCGTTACCCATTCCGTATGTTTCCATCCGTGACGCTGTGTTGACGGTGTCGCCGAACAGACAGTACCGAGGCATCTTCCTCCCCACCACCCCGGCCGCGCACGGACCTGGACATACGCCACAATAATCATACAAAGTCTCGGCAGAAGTCTCGCGTTACTTTGAGACGTGCGCATGAGTTTGTGATGTAAACAACTCTTACTACCATGGCATCACAAGATTATAATAATAGTTTGGTTTATTGCAAGTGAACAACTGGCAACCCACAGGCTGAATTGTGTGGTCTTACACTCGTACATAAGGAAATATGACGACAAGTTGAACAAAGCTATCATCTAAAACTATGGCTAACACATTTATTAGTCAATATCTATGGTAATAAAAACTTTAGGGAGCGATAAAATCAGTAACAATACTAGAAAGGCCAATATTTGCTTTGGAGCAAATACAGCGATGGGTTCACCACATTTTACGACATGGCAGGGAAAGAATGAGAAACACAAGGGAAAACAATGATTTACATTGATATAACTATAATATGAAGTAAAATACAACTAAAACAACAGTTGGATAGCTATTCCCTACTTTATTGGTTAGGATTTTTAATTGCATAATGCAAACTGTTGATTTTCAAAATAAAAAAAAAACGTCCATGCCCCGCATTCCAATGCTGGAGCAGGAAAGCTTGAAATACCTACCAAAACACTTGAATACAGACATACTGTCAGTATGGAAATGCTCTGTGCAGGTGTTAATCAAGTTAAATCCCAACAGCCAATCAGCAAGAAATGCTCTGTGCAGGTGGAAATGCTCTGTGCAGGTGTTAATCAAGTTAAATCCCAACAGCCAATCAGCAAGAAGTATAGAGGAAAGCTGCATGCCTATTGGTTGATGCCCTGCATTCCATTGTGATGACTCATGTCCAAACGTGGTAAACAAGGCACCCTAACACAGTAATACATTTGCTATAACACAGACCAAAAAACTCAAATAAAACCATTACTAAAAGCCTGTATCACAATAATTTAAAAACGCCTAGGGGTATTTGCCCACTGTACCTCCATACCAAATTTCAGGACCTTGGGCCCTAAAATGAAGAAGCTGAATCCATTTTAAAAATGGCAGGAGAAGGAGAAGGAGAAGAAACACCAGAAGAAGCAATATGGTTTCACCACACCACGAACCCATAATTACAGTCATAGAAAAATACATCTTAGCTATAATATATAGATCATTAGGGGATTCCTCCACACCCTGTTATTTAGCATATTGTTATTATACCCTTCAAGTTATTATCATTGTCTTTTCTATTGCTATAAATGACAAGCACAACACTGGCAAAAAAGCCAATTTCTTTTTGATGAATATAACTCGATGGACTTACCAGTGTGGATGCCGATTCGGAGTTTGAGTTGTTCAGATTTCCTGTGCCTGATTCTGAAGGTCTGGACCGCCCGGAGCATCTCCAGGGCCATCCGGGCTATCTCCGCGGCGTGGTTACTGTTTCTCTCCGGTAGTCCGGACACCACGACGTAAGCGTCTCCTATCGTCTCCACCTGAAATTACAGCATTTAAATCCATGCTGGTGTGCGTTGTCATATATCTGTGCTTTTATGCCTGACCAGTTAATACGTCATGCACACGACTATATAGCCTTGTATCCAGTCTATCGTGTTTGGGCCAGGCTGTTTTCAGGGCTCTAATAGTTTTCCCCCGTCCAGCTAAACAGACCGCCCGGTAGGAGTGTTTAATACGCCTGTAGGAGTTTGCACGTCAGGAGTTGATTAGCCCCACGAACAGCCCCTACGAGAAAACCTACCGGGCAACCTAGCTGAGTCGGGCGGGAAAGAGCATCTGCAGTCCCGAAGAGAACCCGCCCCAACCGCGATAGACTGGACGGGCTAACAACTTTAAACAAAAGTCTCGGCAGTCTCAGAGGCTGTTAGATTGATAAAGAACAAATTAATTAACCAGGAATTTGATTCCAAAGGAGCAGATTCATGTACCTTGTAAACATCGTAATTACCGATGATGTCATCGAAACAGGTGTACAGGTCATTCAGCATGTCCACAACCTTCAAAATAAAAGAGGTCTTGATTTTGACAAGGAAAAAATTCACTGCACGAAATCAGGTATTTAAGCAGTCTTAAAGCATGCTTAAAGGTTCCGTTTTGGCACTCTTTAAGCAAATTTAAGCCAATCTTTACGCATGCTTAAATGTTACTTTTAAGCTAGCTTTAAGTTTGTGCGTATAGTGCTTAATGGCACTCTTTTAAGCAACATTTAAGCACCGTAAAGTAAGCTTAAATCTCAATATTTACGGTACATTTAAGCGTCTTAAAGTGTCCGTAAATACAGTGATTTAAAGCTTGATTTAAGCTAGCTTAACTTATCCGTAAAGTGCTTAATGGCACTCTTTTAAGCAACATTTAAGCTTAATATAAGCTTAAATATTCATTTTTAAGCTAACGTTACGCACACTTAAATGCATCTTATTTAAAACAATTTAAGGTAACTGCCAAAGTCATACTTATCTAAGTCTTTATGTTTTAAACGTAGTCAAGAACACATGTGGAGTACACTGCTGCAAATCAGTGCTTTATCTTTACTGCAACATTAAGCGACCTTAAAGATCAAGTAAGGATACGTTTATGTTTAAGTAGACTTTACATTGTTCTTTAAGAGAGTGTAAAGATTGCCTGCCGATTGTGGCATTTACGATGGCTTAAGTGTGACTTAAATAATGCTTAATTATTTTGAAATATTTAAGCCTTATTTACGAACACCATTAAGGATGCTTAAATATCGTTTTTCGTGCAGTGATTGTTCATAACTCAAGTATTTTCAAGTATGGTGGTCTGTGTTGTTACCATGTGTCAATGTTATTGTGTGGCAGTTCCTATTTTGTACTGTTGTACTGTATTATGTAATGGACCACTGGAAGAATAGCTAAGCTAAATGCTAAAGCTAAATGTGGATCCAAAATAATTATAAAGTCAAACCATCTATTTTAAGACCGGGTGTTCACTATATGATGCATTCTTAATGTTTAAAAGACCTCTTTGCTATTTGATAATCCAAA